GCGAGTGATTCTGCCCTGGGTCCCTTGTGATCATTCCTGGGACCCTTCCCTGCAGGTGGACGAAGTCCTGGGGGACCAGCTGACTGCCAAAGAGCAGGTGTTCGCTGCCCTGAAGCAGTTTGCAGCCGAGCAGCGGGTAGAGGACCTGGTGTGGGCGCTCACCCTGGCCCTGCCTCGTGAGGCCCGAGGGCCCCTCCTGGACAACCTCAGGTACCTGGGTCTGGGCTGGATGGGCAGGCAGGGCATGTCATGCTCAGGGGTGGCCACTGTCCCACTGCCATCCCAGACACTGCTGCTGCTGCTGCGTGGCCTGCTCCCAAACGGGACCCCCACACCTCTTCAGCCCCAGGACAAAGCTTGGCAGTGACTCTGAGAAGGATGCCCGGTGGCTCTGCTGGATGCCAGGGCATCACTTTGACTGAGAAGGAAAGGGCTGCTAATGGCTAGGCTGCGACAGGCATGGAAGGGACCCACCTCCTGGTCTGTAGTCATAGTCTCCTTGCTTTATCCCAAAACCCAGACCACAGAAATCCACAGGACACCAAGACAGGCCTAGTCCTGTACAGACAGAACAGTGGCACAATGTGGAGTCCAGGGCTGTGGAGTCCGGACACCCCATCCTGCAGGGTGCACTCTGCCCTTTGAGGATGCCAGTGCTGTTGTCAGGTCCTCACCAGGACCCTAGAGGAACCCTGGCTGAGTCCCCCAGCACTATTATTATTCCCATTTCGCAGAGGCAGACTGAGCTCAGAGAGGTTAAGAGATTGGCCCAAAGTCACACAGCAAGTGAGTGGCAGGCAGGGGTGTGCGAACCGAGCCAGCTGTGCACTTTCTGCTCTTCTGCTCAGCTTTGGATCCTCTAAGTTGATTATTGGGGTGGGGGGGATCTCCTGGTGCGTCCACGCCTGGAGAGGGGCCCTGGGAATCGCCTGGGCCCCTCCCCCCTTTCCTGCCAGGACGCCACTGCCCTGCCTGCCCAGCTTTGATCGGCCCCTGGGCCTGAGCGCCGCCTTCCCTGCCCGGATCCTGCGGGTCTCTCTCTGCCCACCCCGCTCGCGAGCTCCGGAGCCTGCGACGGCTCCCCTGCGCCCGACCCTCCCCCTTCCCGGA